CAGGGAAAGAGCAAGAAGAGTAAGTAGGGTAGGTAGTAACTGAGGACAACAGGAGAACAAGGCTTTCTAAGTCAACTGAGCAAGGATCCTATCAACTCCAAAGACTGAAGAACCAAGCACAGGGCCTACATGGGCCATGGACATATCAATTATAGCTTTCACTTTATTTTTATGGAACTCTTGAATGTGTGAATGAGTGAGTCTTTGATTCTTATGGCTTCTCTTAATGTATAAAGAAGCCAAAGTGTGATAAATATAGTTAATAACTAGTTCATTCCAAAACTGATAGCGGTGGTGTTTCAAGTGTTCACAGCATAAAAATATTATTAAAACTATTTAGGGTATAGTTTAAATTCCTTGATATAATCATTCCATGTTGTATATCCATGAATCATAACTATATAAATGTCTAACTCTAAACACTTGATTCATAAAAGAAAAAAAAATCCTCAAAATGTCCCTGGAGGTCAAGACAAATTTAAACTCAAATGCTGGTTCAGTGAAGGAGAACTAATATATGTAAGGAGAATTATAAGTCTGTGATATTTTAAGATAAATAAAAAAATTTAACAAGACATAAAATTAAATTTTAAAACAAGAGAAAGGGGTTAAACCTAAGAGTTGAGAGAGGCAGCTGTAAATGACTTTAAAAAATCCTAAGTGTCAGAGAATTAATAAAAATATTTATTAAAAAGAAAAACATTAAGAAATGGATATGCTGTTCGGGCAGTGGTAGTGCACACCTTTAATCGTAACACTCAGAAGCAGGAGTATCTCTGAGACCAGCCTAGTTTAGCAGAGTGAGTTCTGGGACAGCCAGGGGAACATGGTGAAACCCTGTCTCAGAAAACAAACACAAAGACAAAACAAAGAACCTGAAGTACTTCAGACTCCCAACTTCCAAGCCCAGAATGCTGGCATGCAAATATGAGACTAATACATGTGGAAACTGATGGGCTCAGAGCCAAAGCCAATGTGGGCTACATACATCAAAGCCAATCTCAAACAAACACACACAAACAAAAAGGGTCTCCTGATTTCAGAACCAATGGGTTAGTGATTTTTACAGTATCTATAATGATTTTATTTACTTTCTTCTATTGGTCATTGCAAAAACTGAGATTTACTCCAAAAGCACTGTCAAGGCAATAATCCCAGTACCTGGAAGACTAAGGTAGGAGTCTTAAGTTTGACAATAACACTATCAAAATACAATCATACAGATGTCATGAAAAGTGTTAAATATAATAAAATCTGTGTTTCACCAACTGCAATTCTTCACTCTGCAATCCTACCAAATAGCCTTAACACATGCACTCACTTAATACCTGTGTCATGAATCCCTTGTCCCTGCCACATACCATCACACCAGTGACTAGGAACAGTAAGATGAAGAACTCATTCTTTGTACTGGAATGCTCCACAATACAGCAACAAAAACTGACCCTCCAACTTAACTAGTATTATACTCATGTATAAAAAATAAAACAAAACACATCAGCAAAGAGCTAACTCATAAATATAAAACTTCACGGTTTAAGTTTGAAGGTTTACTTAAAAAAAAACTAAGGAGATTATTTTTGGTTTTTTGTTTTTAAGAAATCAAAAAAAAAAAAACCCTATTTTCAGAAAACGGTTGTCTTATTTCCCAAGGATGGGCATTGCTGACAAAAGATGAGATAAAGCATGTAAGTCATTTTAAATGCACTCATATTACAAATATAGCTACTTCTGTGAAACTCTAGTAGTAGTGGTTTTATGTGTGCTTTATTTTTTGTTTTAACTTTTGTGAGACAATGTTGCTATGCAGTGCAGGCTAAACTCAACCTCACTTAGGAAGTTCTAGGAGTACACCATCACATCTGGCAGGTAATTTTTTTTATTAGTATTGACAATCACAGAATCAGACTTGGATTTTGGACTGTGGAGTAATACACCAGTAGAAAAATCACATCAATAACCAGTCATTGTTAAAATACAGGGCACACAATGCCAAAACAGAATAAAACTTAAACGTAATTATTTTCTCAAGCCTCCACTGGGAAAGCATAAGGACTGGTTTAGTGTCTTAGGATTCCACTTGGTTTGTGGTATGTACATACCCCTCTGCTAATAATGTACTTACTATACACACACTCCTCTCCAATCAGTGCAGCCAGCAACCTCAGAGCCACACCCACAGAGGACATGTTTCTATTCTTCTAACAACAATCAAACTTGGAAAGTTTCTATTTAAAAGTATTCTCAATGCATTCTAGTCTGAAGATCAGAGAGATCCAGCCAGGGCTGATCTGGGGTACATGAAGAGTAAAACAAAACTGTATCCTTTTAGGAATTATACTCTTAAATCTACTTATTCCTATGTATATGACAAAATTAGATGCATATGGAAAGGAACATACACAATGGAAAAATTACTGTATGACCTAATCTATCAATCAAAACAGAGAAGCAACCAAATTACACCCTTAGCAATCAGCCCATCCTTCCTTTAGACCTTATAAAGAGAGATCCCAGACAGCAACTTGAGGCCTTGAATATTTTCACTCATGTGCCTGGCTGCTCCCTTGCAGCATATGCTAAATTTTTCTACTGCTTTGCTTTAAATAAAATTTCCTTGCTACTTTTGCAAATCAGCATGGGTTTTAATTTCAATTCTGTAAATAAATGGCCAAGAATCTGGAAACATTAAACACCAACAGTGATCAACACTGACCACAGGTAGATAACATCAGTATTCCAACTTCTTTAAATAAATGTTATTTTCAATTTACATGGCATCCTCAACAAAAGGGCAACTGAAACATGAGACCTGGACTCAATCACATTATTGTGAAGATTAACAGGGAACCAATGATCTATTTCCTTCCTCCTTTAAAAAACACTATAAAATGGAAGAAGTATGGTGTCAGATGAGTAAGACCAACATTAACACAATCCTAGAGTTAGCCGATATTAATCGGATTTAAGTGCAGAAAACAACTTAAATCACCAGATGAAATTAAAACACCTTTCCCACCAGATGATTCATCTTGGTTACTTATACTTTTTAAAATTACATGAAGGAATTAATTTTAAAAGCACAATGTGTAGAGCTGGAGAGTTGGCTCAGCAGTTCCTGCTTTTCTGGAGAAGCCATAACTTAGGGTGGACAACTCACAACTTTTAACTCCCAGGTCCCAAGGATTTAACACCCTCTTATGGCCTCTCCAGGACCACACACACACACACACATGCAACATATATTTGCACACATACACATAAAAATAAATCTTAAAAAGAATCTCATAATCTATCCATTTAACTTTAGCTAAATCAGGACTTCAAGGAACTAATTCATTAAATACTTGAACAACTTTATAAAGTTTGTCAATCATGCTTACTTGAGTTATTCCAGAAATAAACTTAGTTTCCATTAAACTAGCAATTCTCGAGTTACTTTTACAGTTCAGCTAAGAAATTCTGATTTAAAATCATATAACTTACCTTTAAGATCTTAGACAATTTTCCATTTTTTTCTATACAACAAACCTAGTTTCCCAGTTCTGTATTGCTAATGCTTTTAAATGCACGCCCTGTTAGAGGTAATCAGTTTTGGTACTGTGGAAAGACAAATGTTGACATCTTTTCTACCCCTTCCTGCCAAGCATTCACAAATTCTACCACTTGTTTCCATTCCTCCTGATTTATTCACCCCTCTCCAATACACACTAGGAATCTAAGACAGCACACAAAGGAGAGTAGATAAAGACAAATGCCCAGAGGTAGATGAGGGTGACCAAAGCCGTCACTTCTATAAGCTACAAATCAGGTCTATACATTCCACAAAGCAGAAATCTTTTGTTCAAATTGTCTAACGAATCATTCCATGAGAACACTTAGTGCCTTTTCCTCTTATGCTTTTAAAGGAATCTAGGTTAAAGTTACAGAGCACATTTTTCATATCTTTTTACAAGTGGAAGAAACGATACTAGAAATTTCATTCCAGAATATTCTCATGAACTGGTAAAGGTTGAAATTTTGTTTTCAAAATTGGATTCTACCAGTGACACAAATTTGGCAATAAACATGACAGCAAAATTTTATCAAAATATAAAATATCTTTATTTTATTGCTTCTTAGCATTTAAATTATACTTAAGAACAAATTCTCAGAAGCTACTAGGGGCTAGGCATGTAGCTTAATTGGGGTACATGACTTAGCATGTACAATATCACAGATTCAAATCCCAGAATTTTGGGGGGGGGGTACTAATGATCTATATTTAATCTCCATGTTCGCAATAAAGAAGTATTTATAAAGTCCTTAATTCTATTCTCTAATACTACCAAATTAAAAACTGCAGTAACTTAATGAAATTCAAATTTGAATATCTTAAAGAAAATATACTTAACTAAAGTTGTAAGACACAAACTAATCTATCCAGTGAAAGTTTCTAGCTAGTAAGTTTAATTTGCTTTAGTTAAAAATATGTGGCTGTAGCAGGCAATAGCAGAGCACTTCTTTAATCCCAGAACTTGGGAGGCAGAGACTGGTGGATTTCTGAGTTCAAGGCCAGCCTGTAGACCAAGTGGTGGACAGACAAGGCTACACAGAGAAATTCAGTCTTGAGAAGGGGGAGGGAGAGGAAGGGGGGGAAGAAAGGGGAAGGGAGGGGAGAGGAGCAGAGAGAAGAGAGGAGGGAAGGAAAGAGAAGGTAAGGAGAAGAGGAAAGGAAAGGGGAAAAAAGGAAAAACAAGGTTGCAATAGTAAAAGATTAAATCATGTTAATATTCAAAAATCCTAAGCATAATATATAAAAATAACACTCATCTTTAAATATTTTAGAACCCCATTCAGTTACTTATAATCCTAAACCTTCAAGTGTTTTTCACCACATGTAGGCAAATTTCACATTACATTAATCTTGTATTCAATTAGATGTCTAGTTGGGAAAAAAAAAAATCAGTAAAAACTAATAGAAGTTTAACTTCTTAAATCTGAATCTGCAGAAAACTTACCTGATTTGTCTGGCTACTTAAGTATGGCTCAAAATCATCATCATTTACAGCATCTTTTTGATGAATCGAACCATTTTGTACTGAAACTAAAAAACATATTTGTATTAGAAATGTTGTAAGCCTTATAAAATTTATAGCACAATATTAACATTTCAAACACTTTTCAAGCCAACTCTGAAAAAAAAATAGTACAGAATTTCTTGCTGTTTTGATTTAAGAACTCTCTTAAGGATAACCTTTAGAAATAATGTGTGCCAAAGAAAACCTAGAAATCCCATGATCTAAAACCCAACATTATATAAACCTTATCTATATACTCTCCTTGATCAAAATCTTAAATATCCCAATTTCAAAATTATAGTAAGCAAAGCAAGACAGAAATGTTGGGAAGGCTCCCTAAAACTGTGTATGACTTTAAAATAACTTTAAGTAATGATGTAGATAATATATTTGAGTATGTGAACTAACTTTATAAAAGTCTGTTAATCTGTTAAAGGTAAAAATGTTTTTCTTACCAAAACTGGGTCTTCTTCCTATGTTACCCAGGCTAACCCTGAATTCTCAATCATCCTACTTCAGCTTGTGAAGCAATGGGAATACAGGCATATATACAATACCAGGCTGAGCCTTCAAATAACTATTTATGACCTGAAGTTCCAGTAAAAAATTACTTAAATGTCTCCAAAGTGGTTAAAATTGATGATTATAAAAAAATCTAGAAAGGCCTAGGTCTGATGCCACACACTGGTTTCCACAGCAATTGAAAAGTAGAAGCAAAAGGAGAGAAGATAAAAACCAGTATGGACTACACAGACCGAATACGTAGCACGACCCTCTCATTAAAAAGGAAAGGCCTTATGCTGTTTTGGTTTGGTTTTTGGCAGTACTGGGGGTGCCAACCCAGGCCTCGTGTACGTTATGTAAGCACTCTAGTTAAAATTCTCTAAGACTTTGATTCTCTAATAAATGTGTGTGCACATACCTTGATTCTCAAAGATTAACAACTCACTGGTGAAATTAGCATGCACTGAAGTTTTGTGTTCAAATCTAAACACCAATAAAAAAGACTTTCACATGAAAGTAAAACTACAATTAAGACACCAAAGATGATGATGATTACTCATGAAACACATGAGAAAACAAACCAGAATGTCACACTAGTTCAAAACTACTTCATACACTGTAAAAAAGACATTATTTTGTAGTCAAGAAAAAAATACATTTGGACACTGTCCCAGTAGTGCCTGAGTATAGCATATAAAACCACCTCCTGGATTTCAATTTCAGGTCTACTACCGAGGAGGCAAGTGGTCTCCAGTAGTGATTTGAGCTCATCAACCTAATAATAACTCAGGTTATTCAGTGCCTATTTCATTTCATTTCATCTTCGTATGAGATGACCATATTTAATAATCTTTATTAATACTAAATGCTGCAATACCCCAAATAAAACTAAAAATTATTCTGAACCAGAAAAACAGACAAAGGTTACTGGGAAAGTATCTGATACAGTAGCAGTATTTGTTATTGAACATGAAATAAAAAAAAAAGGCAATTTGTGAGGGATGTCAATCTCTTAGAATTACTGCTCAAAACTACAATGTCACCAAGTATGGCCAACTAATGTGGAGTTAAGTTTACCAGAATATCAACTCTAATTTTGTCCTAAGTGTACATTACCTAAAATGTAACATTAGTGAGCAGTGGCTTATGAGCAAAGATCTATTAAATCCCTTCATTCTTCATCCAATAATGTTCAGCGATAGCTCAAAAGTAAAACTACTCTGAGCATGAAGGATTCAGAGCTGACTTCTATGGCCCAAAGATCAAATGGATCCTGACTCCACTTATAAGATTCAACAGTGTTTCATAATGACTTCACCAGAGTCAGGTTTGGCTAAATGGGCTCCAGAATTAAAATATGTAACTGTTACTACTAACAAAATAAAACGGAGGGTGTCATATGAGGGCTAAGGTTCTTCCCATTGGTTTGACTATTCCTTTATCAACAATAGTGATGCACAGTCTTTTATTTCTTGAAGGACAAAAAAAAAAGTTTCTGACTAGAATAGACTATTAAACTAGTATGAATATCAGCCTGTATTAAAAACAATTTCTATCTCTTGTATCCATTAGTTCTTGGTTATCTAGTCCTTACTGCTAACATAATCAAAAAAGTATCCATTTAAAGGCTCCTAATAAGATACTAACTAGCCCTTTAATTTCAGAAGCATACTTTCTTAAAGCAACTGTTTCATAAGATTTTAGTTGTTGATCATTACTTAAGGACAATCTAATGCCTTGGAGACTGAAAGTCACTGAACATTAATGAAATCTAAGCCACTTCTATATTGTGTAAAAGTTCTTCAGGGGAAAAAAGAACAGATGACTTACATGATTCTTCGCCTGTTTCCTCTGCCCTATGAAGCAAAGTCAAATCAAGATAGAACATGGGCCTTAGAAGCCAGGTGATTCTCTGCTCTGGTCCTGACTACATCAAGTTAGGAAAGTCAACAGATGTGTGCATCATGTTTTCCCACCTACAAAAACAGCGACAATACCATATACCCTCTATCTCCTTACAGGAATGTTGTGAGGATTAGTAAAAGTATGAAGCCAAAATAATGATAGTATGGTGTTTTGAAATCATTTATTAGGGGGGGACAGAGAGAAGATACACATAATATTGCTAAAATACACTAATTTTCTGAAACATTCAAACAACCAATTTCAACCTAATTCTTTTAAACTGCAGTTGTATAAAATGATGTACGTGTCCCTTCTACAGAAGGAATGAGGAGGAAAAAGAACCAATTTCCACGTGTTGCTTATTTATATAAACTTAAGGAACAAAAGAAAGGAAGGAGGAAGGCCTAAGAGGACATCTGGACACACAAATGAAGACACAGCAAGCAAAAGTTCTTGTTAATAAAGAAAATTATGGACCAACAAATAATTATCTTTACATTTTAACTATCTTTTGGTATTATCTTGCCAAGTATAACAAGCAGGTCTGACATTTTACACAGGAAAAAAAATTTTTAGTGAAAAAAAAATATGTAAAAATAAACCAAAAATTAGGAATTACATTTCAGAAGCATTTTGTCTTTCCAAATAGACTGACAGAACTCCTTTTCATTCTTTTAGTCCAATAAGCCTTAAGGATATGCTTAAGAACACTTTGCAGAAAAAGACACTAAAGCCAGGTGTTAGGCTAATGTCAGCTAAAGGTAATTCATAAAAGTAGCATCTCAGAGTCATATTAAGTCAACTAGTTTAAAATCTTAACTGATACCAATTTCTTAGAAACATAAGGTTCTTAAACTCTGAAATTCAAAAATTATTAACCACATCTTTACAGTTGTAAAGCAAGAAAAACAGTTACAGTTTCTGCTTAATAATAGTACACAGACTTACTATAGGATAAGTTCACTAACTTAAAAATAAGTCAGCTAAGACAGACTTTTTCTCAAACACACAAAAGCCCCTAACTGCCATTTGTTATCAGTCCTGACTTGGCTTGTAATGTATTTGTAAACTTATAATGGTTTCTATCATTTTATAATGGTTCCAACTTACATGATTTTAAGCATACCAATACTTTTGGACCAGTAGCTTTTCTTCTCTTCCTCAAAAGAGGATAAAAATAATCCAACAGATAGCATCTAGAGCAATAAGCTGTTGTGATTACAGTATCTTAACAGGATTTACAGTCACTCTTTTTTTGTTTATAGAAGAGAATTTTTTTAAAAAAAAGTGCAATGTTCTCAACAAACTTGGTAAATCAGTAGCTATATGTGGTATTGAAACCCAGGACTGTAAGAAATCCCAGCCTTCATCCTAGAATAAAACTATAAACTGAACAAAATGAGTAAAAGAAAAACAGGGAGAATAAAGGACAAGAACTATCCAAAAACCATAATGTGTATGTGTAGCTACATATCAAATCAGAAGTGACACTATCAATTAAAAATTCTCATATAAAAATGCAGTCACCAGGTGATGCAGCCTGTGGCTGGCTTCTGTCTTTGAGACAATTTATAAGTAACTGGTGTGTAACAACAGAGGTCGCTAGGCCACACCAAAGTAAAGTGATTCCTGAGTAAACCAAACTCGTGGTAATCCTGGACAAGCTTACAATACCCAATCTATATGGTGGTCTACATTTCTTATCCAAAAAGAATTTCACAGAAGTCACTTACCTTAAAATGCGTAACACAAAACACTTAGCACTTCAAATAGCCTTGCATAGTTCTAGGATAAAACAGTTTACACTAGGCAATAATGACCACAGATTTCACAGATGGTCAGATTAGCCAAAAAAGAAAAAGAAATTCCTTTTAAATTTACAAATGTTTCAGAACTATTTTTAAATTAACCTCTAATTCTGAAGTTTATAATTATAAGTAAAATTCCATAAGTTGATTCCTAAATGTTTATGTGCTGAAAGAAAACATTAATTAAAATAAAGCAGTAAGTTTGTTACCTACACACTTCAATGCGTCTGGTATATACAAATTTTTATATAAAATGCAGCATGACATGAAGGAAATTATTCTGTGAAGAGCATAATTATTTTCTAATTAACCAGCACTGCCACATAAAAACCCAGGAAAAAAATTAAAAGCATCAACAGAAACATGAAAGTTATACCTAAAGGGCTATTGCAGATCTTTATTCTCTAAGCAGTACTTGGTTACTAGGGGGAAAAAAAAACAGGAAGTATAATTGTATTTAGTGTCATTTCCAGAACTGCAAAACGTTATAACTATATAGTTCATTGGAATGTTCTTTAATTGGCACCACCCCAAGAAAGGAGTTATTGTCCTAAACTACTATCACATGACTTATGTCATAATGTTTCAATCAGCTGACTACTGAGTCCCACGGGCATAAATACAAACTACATTTATGTTTTAAATGCCTTACTTTTAATGGTAGTTTTTAAACAGTAAGTTATATAATGCTAGCAGTAACTGCACGAATAATTTCCTTCTCAGGTTTTTGTAAGATACCAGATTGAGACACACCTTGCAGTCAGGGCTATATACAATGAGATACTTGCTGTTAGGAGTTCTGTACTGCTGTTGCCTCTTTGCAAGCAACTTTTATGGATCAGTGATTAACCGTACGATTTTCATTCATGTGACACAGAACGCCATCTGAACTGCAAGTATAAATATTATCCAGACATTTTAAACAGAATGTCCACTTCAAGCACGTACTTAACTAGACACACATGTAGAAAATTGTGACCTAAGTTATATAACAAAGATAAAATAGAAAACTAAAGAAATATCTTACGTTTACTGAAATACAAGCAAGACAGCTGTTTATTCTTGCAGAACTTCGGTTTCTACAAACGTAGCTTCAAACCCAGGAACTACCTAAACGTTAGCTGGCTTAGCTGCGATGGATGTTTTTCTAACCTTTACATTCAAGAAGAAAAGCAAAAACAAAAAAGAAGCCGCTGGCGGTTTAAAAATAACATCAGGGCAACATCTGAGAGAGAGAAAAATAAAATAAAATAACCAAACTCACCTTTATTTCCTTGCCCTTTAGGTCTCTGGAGCAAGACGAAAGATGTGGTAAAGGGAGGGGGAGGGAGGAGAGGAAAGAAAAGTGTGTTAATCAGAGACATTATCGGAGACAAGTTATTCAGAACAATCCGCGTAGGAGTGAACCCCGCCAGCTCCTCCGCAGCCACTCCGCCCGTCGGCCTCCCGCCGCCCCTCCGCAGCGCCGCCAGCGCCCGCCAGCCGCCAGCTAGGGGCCACGGCGCGGCCGCCGGGACATCCGGCCCTCGGAGTGCTCCCGGGCGCCGGCCGCGGGCTCCGCCGCCAGCACGCAAGCCGGCCTGGGCGGCAGCCCCGCCGGACAACCCCCGCCGCGCCGTTACAGGGCCGCCGGCGGCTAGAGGCGCGCGAGGGTGGAGCTCTGCGGCTCGGGCCTTGGCCGAGCCCGGGCCCAGCTCCCTCACCTGATCCACGCTAGTGGCTGACATTCTTCACCGCAAGCCGAGAGGAGGAGCCGCCGCCGCCGCCGCCGCCTGGGCCTCTCCGCGAGCACTCACAGCAGTCGGCTGCCGCCCTCGCGAAGCTCTGCTCCAGCCGCCGCCGCCGCCACCGCCGCTCGCGGGGACTCCGGGAAGCGGGCTCGCGCTCGGGAATCGCCGAAGGGGCCCGAGCTCGCCGCCGGCACGCCGCTCGTCCCCGCTCGCCCTCCGCTCCTCGGGCCCACAATGGCGGACCAGCTCCCGAGCCCCACTTCCGCTCCGGGCCGCCCTGACCTTCCGCTATCCAGTCTGACGTCCACGCACACCTCGCAGTTCCTCCCCCACTCCCGCCACGGACCCTGGCTCCGCCCTCGCCGCTTACGTCATTGAGCCGGGGGCGGGGGCTGGGGAGGCGGGGGAGCTGCCGTACGCGGGACGCGTGCGTGGGACGGAGCGCGTTGGGGGCGGGCGGGAGGGTGGCGCCGGCCTTCGGGTTTTCGCAGGCGGAGCGGAGCGCAGCGCAGCGCAGCGCGGGGTGACTCAGGCACGGTTGGGTGCCGATCCCGCAAAGCCAGCGCGGTGTCGGGGACCGCGCTCGCAGCTGCCTCTTTGTTCCTCTCGGCTCGCGGTTGTTTGGGTCTTTATGAATAAAGTAGCCCTCCGAGAGAGAAACCGTTGCCAGACTTCCGTCCCCCGGAGGGGGGAAAAAAACAATGTTAAAATTCCACTAGAAACTAGTACTGTTACTTTCTTACCAGTTGGCAAACACAAAGGAGGTCGGTCATTTGAACTTTTGATATTTTTATTGGATTCCCTTCCAAGAAAGATTTCTTTAAAGGTGTAGCATGGACTCGTAGTAAAGAAACCACATGCATAACTAGTCCCATCCTTTCAAAATCACCCAGGTTAAGTGCTAACTTATTAAACAGAAAATTAGAAAAACCGTAGTTTGACAATATCTTATAAACACTGGGTTAGGTCTGCTTTTCTTGTAAATCCTCAAATGGCATTTTTTGTTTGTTTTTCGCGACAGGGTTTCTCTGTGTAACAGATCTGGCTGTCCTGAAACTAGCCCTTGTAGACCAGGCTGGCCTCAAACTCACAAAAATCCGCCTGCCTCTGCCTCCTGGGATCTAGGATTGAAGGCCTAAGCCACCACCACCGCCCGACTCTCAAATGCCATTTTTAAGGTGTGGTCAGTCCAAATCTCTACCTCTTCTGTTCTCTCCCGTTCTAATCCCAAACTGTGATTCCTTCAATGTCCCAAGGTTTCTCTTACTCTCCAATGTTGTGCCTCATTTTCCTCTTCCCAGTTTGAGTTTTCAGCGTTTATTGGTAGAGGCACTAAGGTGGGAAATTGAGACTACACAAGAGAAAGAGTAGGAAAGCTCACAGTCTTGCCTTGGGCTCCTAAGAAGCCTATCTTTGGAATCCCATGAATCTCAGTTGAATTCTTTCCTGGCAACAATTTGTTTATTGCTCCTATCTGAAAAGCTTTGGCTTTGGAATCCCATGAATTTCAGCTTGAATTTTTACCTGGTAATGATTAGTTTAAAACCTTGGAAAAGTTACAGAACCTAAACTTGGCTTCAACAAGTAGCAGTGGCACAGGTAAGCTCCCCGAAACCGTGGCCTTGTACTTACTAGTTCTTACTTCCTTTGCTGAGCGAGTCCCAGCATCAATATTGTAACTTAGTGAGTATTCATTAAATGTCAAGGCATAGTAGTTGATTAAATATTCACTGTATCTTGTGTGTTAACTCCTGTTATAAAAATTGAAGGCCAGGTGAGGTACTTAGGAGGCAAAGGCAGGCAGTCAGATCGCAGTAAGTTTGAAGATAGCCTGGTCTACAGAGTGACCGACAGCCAGGGCTATGTAAAGAGACCCTGTCTCAAAAGAAAAAAAACACACACACACACAGTAAGGTTACAAAATAAATCCAAGGCCAGAAAGGGGCAAGTAAGAGCAGTTGTAAAAAAAACTATATGAGTTCTGTACCTGGAACGGATGAGATAGATGCAGAGAGCCAACCACTCTTAAAAATTTTCCTCTGACCTCCAATGTATATCCACACACAGACAAATGAAAAATAAATAAACAAATAAATAAATACATGCATATATACACACAAATAATGGGCTAAAAAGATGGTTGGTTCATCAGTTAAGTGCAAGTACTGCTTTCACAGCGGCCTGGAGTTCAGTTCCCAGCACCTACCCCTTGTGATTCAGAAACCCCTAACTCATCTCCAGGGGTTGGGTGTTACCCTCTGGCCTTCACTGGAAGCTACACTGGTGTTCACACACCCACACAGAGACACATGCAGCATCTAGGGATATAATTAGTAACAGAAGACTTGCCTAGACTGTGAAGGTCGTGTGTTCAAGACTCAGTCCCTAGTACTGCACAAAGGAAAGAGCAGGGATCAGAAAGGGTGAGGAATATCTGATTAGTTTATGTGAGACACAATTTGAACACACGTCTAGAGTTTCTATATAGCCTTCATGTAATGCTGCCTAATAGCAGTATTCTATGAGTTTCTGTTGTCCTTCATTCCTGCCCTTCCCATCAACTCCATGTTTCCTGACCATGGCCTTTCCTCCTAACAATGAGGTCTGAACTTGACTAGAATGCTCATTTCCTGCTCATAAAATCCACTTAAATTAATGCAAAGTTTTGGCTGTTACTGGGGATAAAACTCAGCACTTTGCTTAAGCCAGGAAGTTACTCTGTCAGTGAACTTTGCTCCCAACCATTTTCAGCGCTTTGAAGTATGTTTAGAAACTAGCTAAACCCATTTCCAATGCTGCCAAGGATCTGTAGATGAACCTGGGGAAATGCTGCTGCAGAATCTAGATGATAGACAAACTACTCTCTTAGAGGACCAAGAGTCCACCAGCCCCAAGGTCTTTATAACATAGTACCCACAGCCCAGAAAGGAAGATGGTTGGCTTGGCTTCGTCATTTACTGTGTCTGACTTGGTGCTTTTATGCAGCAAAGTTCCTTTCTGTCCAACTGTTAACTTTCAGATGTTTTTTGTGTACATTCAGGTTAGGTTCAACTACAGGTGCCATCAAGTTTAAAATACCAGGAATTTAAACGGCCGTCCGTGTTTCTTTTCTGTAAATGTGATCTGAGTTTGGCCCGGACTGAATCTGCTATGGTGTCAGGTTTTTTTTTCTCTCTACTATGCAATATACTAATCAATGAAATGACAGGTTTGGTGAAGGATCAGAAAGTCAGGTGTGTAGAAAGTAACAGGCCAGTCTCAAATTCACCTCCCTAAGTACAGCATTTCGGGATATTTCTAGAAGAAGCCAGGGCATCTAAGGCACAAGGAGAAGGTGATCCTAGGTAAGGAAATGTGGCAGGTAAACCATGCATGCATGCTCTAACTCAGTGGCTCTTTATGGAGTGTAGGCTGAAAACATGATGTTAGGATGCTCTCGGGGTCACCCACCAGATGCTGCGTTAAGAAAAAAGGGTTAATGCTTAGCATTGATTTGAGCTGCTTTCATATGCTTGAAAAACTATGTAAACTGTTATTGCGTGCATAGGAAGGTTAATAGGAATTATTACTTAGTGCTGTGTATTTTTATATCCCTGTGTTGTAATACCTAGGAAAACAAAAGAGAAAGGATTTATTGTGGCTCGTGTTTTCATAGGTGTCATCCACAGCTACTTGGCTCTATTGCTCCTGTTCCTGGGGAGCATTGAACAAACCAAAATGACTCACTTCCTGCTGGGCAAGAAGCAGAAAGAAAGAAAAGGTCATGGACAGATGGATAAACTCAGCGAAGATGCAGGCACTCCCCTAGTGACCTGTTTCCCCCAGCTAAGCCCCACCCCCTCAGAGTCCATTCGACCCTGAGTGAATGAATCCCTTGTAAGGTTACAGGGCTCAGAAGACAGTCAAAAGCCCATCCACTCCCATCTGCTTTTTGACACGTGAGCCTTCAGAGGACAGTTTCGTTTCAAATCCAGAGTGGGACACAGTACCTAAATTTTGAAACAAAAGTGACAAAAAGTAACTTTTCCCCTAGGTTTCGCCTCTAGGGCACTAACACTTCCGCCAGTGCTGTGACTGCTCTGCTTCCAGCTATCATTATCACATTCCCATCTTGCAAAAAAGAAAGAAAGAAAACGTGGGGGAAAGGTAGAGCCCTGTCTAAGGGTATTTCATAGCAGTTTTATTTCCCACTTCTGTCTACCTCCTAGTAACCGCAACATTTGTTTTCTGAAAATTCTTAGTTGCACGGAAACTGGAACATGTATTGTGAAATGGAAGAAACTTAACCACCCAGGAGGAGTACCAGATGACAAGAGAGATACATAATAAGCAACGAGCTGTGTGCACAGTTCTTCCCAGGTTTCACTCTGTTCACTACTAGGATTTAAACTTTTAATTTTGCCCAACATCCACAGGAACAAGTTTAAGCACCTGCATTATGTTCAAGTCACACAGTAAGTGAACCAAGCCCAGCGAATTCGTAGGTTTGACCGCTGCATTCAAAGGTGAGATATCTAAATCCTGTACATACAAAGGTAAAACTAATAGTCAAGAACATTGAATAAGGTGAAAATAAAATAACGCTGTTTTGAAGCCTGCGTATTTCTCAAACATGCTTGTGGTTATTGCGGGGATATTTACAATGGCAAGAAAAAGAAAGAAGAAAATATGGAGCCTTTAGTTGCCTTTCAGTGATGTTTCTCAAGCGTGACTCTTATCTCTTGGACTAACTACAGCTTTTCCCAGGAATTTGTTATAAAAGCAGTCTCTAGACCTAGGCTAAATTTACTGTCAAGTTTGGAACAAAGTGTATATTTTTAGAAAGAAAAACAGGTGTCTATTTTGAAGTAATTTTAGATTTCCAGACGTGTTGCAAAGATGGTACCCACAGTTCCTACACATCTCTTACTCAGCTTCCCCTACTGTTCTTGTCTTATGCAACCACACTACAATTTAAAAAACAAGGAAATTGGCTGCTGGTTAATAGACTCAAGCTATGCATGTCACAGAGCTCCAGACCTTAGTAGGCCCTCAGACCTTAGCACAACTGACTCCATGATGGGAGTTTCATTCAGGCTGTAAAAGTCGAGACACCTAGACAGCGCCACTAGCTAAAATGGAATCAAAGACCTAATCCATCAAAGCCTCCAATGTACTTACCGTGTTTTCTGGCTTCTGTAGTTTCACTTCTGGCTGTTTGTGTTAACAATTATATCAACCCAAGACATGGGTTTTGTGTTTAAAGCCTCACACTGAGAAAGGCCCAGGGCTGCACTGGAATTCTGATCACCCAGTAAGTACAGTTGCTAGTTTATTAATAAACACTTTCTTTTG